TTTATCTTTATATGAATGGAATAAAAATCTGTAAACTTAATAAGCATGTTGGGAAGAGTTATTTACATACATGTTTACCAACTTTCATTACATATCTTATTCTAAAGGACTGCTGCATGTCATCCAATATATTTTTATACTAACTGAAAGAAGCACAAATGTCGGTTTATTTGGTACATGTATTATAATAACAGCCTCAGCAAATTCTCTGTTTCTCAGCATCTTAGCATAGTGTTAAGCAGTACAGTATTAATAGGTTAGTTATTCTCCCTGCCAAACAAATCAATATATACTAGATCAATAAATCACCGGCTCCAACAGGACAAAGAGTTGAAGATCTTACACTCTAGCATGTTATCAAATGCTAAATGGCAACAACTGTAAAGTTTGAGAGTGATATTTAAAATAAACTATCTTTTGAGAGTAGAAAAATTAGTGGTTGACCATTTGATTTTTTCATGGGAAGAACATTCATTTTGAATTTCACATATTTGTTAGAATGACTTTTTTTTAATTTAGTTTTGATTTTGTAGACAAAATTCTTATTCTGAATTTTATATGCAGAATATTCATTATCATCTAACATTACTTTAAATAAATTGTTCTGACAATGTCAAACATAGATTGAACTATTTTATTTCATTCCATGTTTTAACAGTGGAAACTGGAGTTGTGAAAGAAACCAAAATAATGTTATCCTGCACTGAAATTTTTATCAAATCAAAGTCCTATAAGCTTTCAACATTGTCCTACAATATAGACGATGTCATTGATTAGTATCTATCAAATAAAGTTTTAATATCAATTGGAATGGGGAAATGTCATGCCAGCAATCCTGTAATTTTGGATTAGAAACCAATAAAATATCTGTATCTTACTGTATCTTTCCAGCAAGTGTTCTGGTTACAGTTAAAACCGAATGACAATAAAATCATTAAAAACAGCATTTTCATTAAGGATCCAATATTTGAAGCATTTTTAAACAGAGGGCAGGTTTGCTTAATTGAACTTTTATTTTCGAAGAAAACCAACAGATTTTTCAATTAAACTTAACTTGGATCTAAGATGAAAGATAATTCCATAACCTTTAGAAGGCAAATTTTATTGTTGATAGAACTGACTCCTTCTTGATCAATAATGCTATTGTATAGCCATATAAATGTTACTTCTATAAAATGTATGTTTAAAACACATTTTAGTATTTACAAACTTGTGTCACAACTCAATCAAAACTAAGAGCAATTTGTAGATAATGTTGATGCAGGAAACAGGAACTTGGTTGAATGGCTGTTTGACTTTTGTTATGAATGGAATTTCCTAGCTTTGTATCATTAACAGAACATTATTTCAATTTCAATTTGTTTGTAGCAATGATATCTGATTATTAACAACATAAATCAGAACACAGCATTGCTTGCTATGACATAATTTTATTGACTTATCACAGAGGATTGTTAATTCTTGTTTTACAGAATTGAAAAAAAGTCTCTTAGGATATAATTGACTGCTATCTAAAGTGCAAAATCCTTTCAGATGCTCTGATGAAATGCAAGCATTTGAAAATTATGTGATACACAAAGCAGATATTTTTTATTGATACATAATCATAAATAATTCATGGAAGCTGATCATGAAGTCTTCGTGTATCTGTATGTCTACACAATATCACAAGCTGATAAACTATATGTTCACTAAAAAAAATAACATGTAGGGTTCTCATTTGTGGCCTGATGTAAAATGCTCATAAGGAGTGCGATCATAATGAAAGTTTTTTTTTTTTAATTCCCCATGTCTCATCATAAATGAAAGTTTTATATAAAAATAAAGAGCAAAGGATAGTTATAGGGGAGGTAATGACGTTGCTATAGTAAAATGTTATTTTTGATGACGTTAAACTCTGATTTTTCAACTCATTTTAATCATTTATAGCTTGAAAACTTGTACATGAACCCCTCTTTTTAAAAAATGATGTTTGTCTTGATTATGTATGAAGATTATTTGTACCAATTTTTATGAACAAATCACAGATGAATTAACTATAATGAGATTAATATACAGCAAGAAATGCAGGGTTTTTAAAAATTTAATGAAATTAATTATTTCCTATTATTGGTATAGAAAATTAGAACATACTGTGGTATATTGGTATAGAAAATTAGAACATACTGCGGTAAAGTGTTTTTACAAAAAAACTGCTTGTGTTTATCTTTGGAAAGAAAAAGTTAGGTATGTCTGTCCAAAGGATAGAAATATCCAAGATACTGAAATTTTGACTAAATGTCTTAAAATTTGATCCCATTTTTATCTAAAAGTTGCACATGAACGTATATTCTTTATTACATCTTTGAATTGACTAGGTGAAAAATAGATTGTATGCAAGTTTTTGTCAAAAAATCACTGTGGGATCAAAACTGTATAGCATGGCCCTCCTGCCATCCCAACCCCTTATAACAAAAGTCTGTATTCTTTCCGGTAAATATTTATAAATATTGGCATTTGGAGTGAGATATTGATCAATATTCAAATCTTGTTGCTTTATGAAGCAAAAAATAAGATAAGTTTGGCCTATCAATTTCACTGAATGACTGAGAAACACAACCATTATAGTTCAAAGATTGACAATTTGCCAACCTGCAATGTGTTAAAATTATTGATGTTGGCTTCTGCCAATATTATAAAGATAATTTTGATAATTTTTAAGAAACTTCCACTTTTATGATCAATCTTTAGAAGCACTTTATGAAGCATGCGTTCCTATCTTTAATCTTATTTCTAACTGAACTCATCATCACTGACTTATACTTAGCTAGAAGTTTCAAATATATTTTACTGTCAAAGAATAGCACAGTTTAAATAATTAAGAAACAATAGTTTGAAGTTACATTATGGCTAACCATAGGGTACATGTACATGCAATTTCAAACAAAACATGTTGTATGATGTTGAATTCCTGCCATTAGTTTTTGTAATCTCAAATTTCAGGAATGTATATTCTACTTGCATCTTTAAAACATTTCATTACAAACAATATCACATCACAGATCTGCAACCTAAACTAGTGAAGAATATGTGGAAATTTATCAGCATGAGAGTAAAAAAAATCCTATCATTTTAAAAGAATTTTAATAAGGCATTCAATTGATCTTCATGTAATGTTTATTTTTGACATTAAATGAACAAATGCTTAAAGTTAAATGTGTATAAACACAAATAAGAATATTGCTAATTAATTTCTGAGCCACAAACAGGCTAATTAGCCTGGTATTAACCCCAAATAGTTGATGTTTTTTATGTATTTATATTAGATTTTTCTCAATTTAACTCAGATTGGACATTTCAAAGCTTAGATATAAACTGAAAATTAATAAAAATGATTCCACTGATAAAACTCTTTAACACACTCATCACTGTAATATTAACTCCATATCAATAATATATGAGTTAGTGAAATAAAACCCAGACACAACCAATTCCCATATAACAAAGACATCCATTATACAAAGTAAGCTTGCCTATTATCACAATAACAATGTTGTTTTTTAATCAATTATACTCAAGTGACAAAATGGCTTTCAATATGATAGCTGTCACAAAGCAAACTCCTATTAACTATCCTGCTGAGTTTGTAAATATGATGGCCTGATCTACATCATAAATAAAACTTTGTTTATTAATCAAGACTTACAAATTGTTGCAGAGTATGTTTATCAATGTGATATTACTCCATAAATTGGAGTCTTAAATTCTTAATCATAATTTCCAACATATAGAAGGCAAAATATAATGTGTACTATGTGAAGCTTAGCTAAGTTAGTAGAAAGAAGAGAACAGGGAGAGAATGTCAGTTTAGAATAGTTATCCCTCTTAAAATATTTGATCAAATTCTTGAGAACACTAACTATATATATCTGGAAAGTTTCTGTTTTAAAACATTTGATCACTGTAAACAAATCATGTCAGCACAAAAGCAGATAAAATCTTCACACAAGTGCTAGCTGTTTGTTAAAAATTATAGACTTCTATTGTGTTTTTATATAAAAAAATCTTTAAAAAATGCAACTGTTTAATATATTTCTTAACTACATGTATCTACTTTTTAGGGACATGGGGAAACATAAGACAAAAACTATACCTTTATACTTAAACTTTCTTTCCATCACAAGCACTCTCAGTTATTCCTGATTTTTACCATCATTTATCAAAACCTACCTTTGATAGTTACACTCAACCAATGACTGCTGCAGTTTAACTGGTACAAAAGTTAGTTTATATGTACTTTTCATACCAACCTAAAGACCAGCTTATCACTCTACCATTCTACAGACCATACCAACCTAAAGACCAGATTATCACTGTACCATTCTACATACCATACCAACCTAAAGACCAGCTTATCACTGTACCATTCTACATACCATACCAACCTAAAAACCAGCTTATCAATGTACCATTCTACATACCATACCAACCTAAATACCAGCTTATCAATGTACCATTCTACATACCATACCAGCCTAAAGACCAGCTTATCACTGTACAGTTGTACATACCATACCAACCTAAATACCAGCTTATCATTGTACCATTCTACATACCATACCAACCTAAAAACCAGCTTATCAATGTACCATTCTACATACCATACCAACCTAAATACCAGCTTATCAATGTACCATTCTACATACCATACCAACCTAAAGACCAGCTTATCACTGTACCATTCTACATACCATACCAACCTAAAGACCAGCTTATCACTGTACCATTCTACATACCATACCAACCTAAAGACCAGCTTATCACTGTACCATTCTACATACCATACCAACCTAAAGACCAGCTTATCACTGTACCATTCTACATACCATACCAACCTAAATACCAGCTTATCACTGTACCATTCTACATACCATACCAACCTAAAGACCAGCTTATCACTGTACCATTCTACATACCATACCAACCTAAAGACCAGCTTATCAATGTACCATTCAACATACCTTATCCCATGACAAGTACTGACAGCTACACTAGACCATTCATCTCTTTTAACTGTACCCTGATAGTAGCAATGCTCCACAGTCTGTAATATAAAAGGCACCATGACAATTCAGGGGATTCATTGTTTTATCTCCATGTTACGAGTAATGATGTTTCTCATCATAAATGTTATGTTCCTCCACTGTTCATGATTAAGACAGTGGACCAACAACAATCCTTAGGTATCCTGTTTTATTCAGTCATAATCAAACAAGCTGAACATTTTCAAAGGTTTATTAAACTTCCAATGTAAATTATGAATGATCCTTACTCAAATAAACAAGTCCAACACCTTTAACCCACTGAAAAATTTGAACCAAGAATCATAGCTTCAAGATAAACTTTACACACAAGGCCTGTACCCTAGCCACCATACATTACTCTGTTAAAAGACTTAAAATTGTAGATAGTCTGTCTTAATCTCTTATATATTTTATGTTGATACATGTAAACCCTAGAACCTTTGTTCATCCAAATTTTTTACCATTACTAATTTGACATACCTAGATACATTTACCCAATTAATAGTTAGCCTTCAATGAAATCTTGCAGAACAATAAATGTAACATAAGTTAGGCTAGTGGCTGTAAAATTATTTGCAGGGTACCCCATTACAAAATTGAGGACTAATATAGGTGTCAGATCACCAATTAAAAATCTGCTCAACCAAATTTTGCAATTTTTACAGCTTTCTAAATATTTTTAACTTCATAGAAACCAGGTATATCTTGAATTGTACATGTATCAGCCTTCTACATGCCAATTTTCAACATACCTTTAAAATCTTCTAAGAAAAAAAAATGACCTTCGAACAGAGGTACTCCAAAAATAACCCCTGGTTTTCTGGTAATCTTTAATTAGTATACTTTGGAGCGCATTAATCCTGAATTTTTAATGTTAACTCATAGACAAGTGAATTTTGGCTCAAAATGGTCTAAATATATTTCTCTTTCACCAAAAGTTTCATTTCTGCAAATTTGTTAGTTAGTTTAAGTAAACAATGACATCACAAGCACTATTTTGTGTCAGAGTAGGGCTACTTTTACATACGTTCTAAATTGGAGGCAGTAATTGGTGGTCTGACACCTATAATAGACCAAAACCTTAGAATCCAGAATAAGATTTTGGATTTCATCATAATTTTCAAGATAAGAGATCAATATAAATCATTCATTTATTATTAACTAGGATCACCTTCATTCAACATTTACTTTATAAACAACCAGGTGAAAAGATCAAAGAGACAAAGTCAGATCAAAGGGTTATAATTCATCTACAGGTAATAGACAGAATGAATAACTAGAATGGCTATTATGTAAAGTGGATTATTGTTATATTATTGTTGTAACAGTAAAGGTTAATTGGAAAGTAATCTGTAGGGATTTCAGTTTTAACACAGCAGGATCGCTCACATTGTTCAATAGAACTAGAAAAAATTACCTGTGGAACAATTTCTGGGAGGATGTGGTATGCAAGGTTTTTTTAAAAACATTGTACAGTCTTAAGTAATCAAAGAGAACCACTAGCGGCCCTTGGGCTGTTGGAAATACTCATTAAAATAAACAAATCATTCAAGTAAAATAAATCTATATGTTACACCTGCTTATTTTAGAATTGATCTTTGATTTATAACTTGTAGCTATAAAGTTTATGTGATGCACTCCTCACTAATGGTGCTGATTGTATGGTTTAAGGGGGACCCTCATGGAAATACATGGAAACAGTTTGAATGATTGGAGTCATTAAGAATCTTCATTAATGAATAAAAACATGCTTTATGTCAATGAGACAGCAATCCATTAACAAAAAACATCTTAAGGTGAATGTTAAAGTTAAAAAATAAGCGAACTATATTTATAGCCTGAGTCTAGACTTGTGAATAAATTAAAAAGACTCTACCAAAGATTTGTCATTAATACCAAATTCCCTGATCGATTCATAAATGTAGACAAGGAATAAATCAGTGAAAACTTTGCCTAGTTGAAACCTTGCACTTGAATTTCTATTTTGTCCTATGATCCTATCCTTCATGATCATCTTGGTCAAAATAAAAACAATTAATTAGGACCATCAATATTTTGAACATTGAACATAATAATTCCATGGTTGTGTGTGTGTTCTGAAATTTTTCTCAATAAAATGTATTAATGGCACTAAAATTTCCACTTAGAACTGTGTTATCTATCAAATGATCATTCCTGCCATATCTTGTATAGAACTTTTATAACATATATAACAAATTCTACAACAGAGAGGATAAACCAACAAACAAAAGGTCAAGTTTTTCTTTGTGATAGGTCTGTTTAAAAGTCAAAGGTCCAAATTCTTCAACAGATAAATCATCCTTATATTTACAAATCCACTAAACATATCTGTTCAATGTAGATACTATTTAGAAAGATCTTCCTTTTCAAATCACTTTCAATATAATCAGAGTAAAACTTTCTTAATTAAACAGATGATCACAGCAATAAGAACAAAGTAAAGCATTACATGGATGAACTCTTTCTTAATTGAGCAGACTTAACAGCTGATCTGGCAAGTTTCTTTAAGATTATGCTTAAGCACCTGTTATATCAGGAGAGTCTATAACAGTAGAAATCTTCATCTATAGAAGTAAATGATTACAGGAACAAATAAATATATAGAACACCCTTGAAAATTATTTGAAAGATAACATTATATTTTAATTACATGAATAATAGAAAACTATCTATTTCATAAAAAGTAAATGATTCAAAAGGGCAGAAAACTGCTGGAGACCCTGGGCTTACAGTCATAACATTTTTTGGAGTAGAATTATTCTACCCAATTTAGAAATCAACCAATCAAAATACTGGATTTGGTGTTTGGAACACATATTTTGTACTCCGAGTACTGACTAAAGTTTTAGAGCTGAAAGGCCTGAGTCCTCTAATGTCAACTATGATATATGATTGATTGTTGGTTGCTTAACGTCCAGTGACTATGATATATATGTATTATTTTTCTATTATCTAAGGAAGCAGCCTTTGACCTGCAATCATTTTTGGTCTTTTTCTGGTTTGTTTAAGATGAGTTATATAGCTATTTTTTTCTATAAGTCCAATTAAATTAAGTGTTGTCTCTTGCTATATATGAGGGTGGTAAAGGGGGGGTGCTTGAACGGAAAAAACGTGAAATAAGACATAATTTCACGTTGAACGTGAAATAATTTCTGTCATGAACGTTGCACGAAAAATAAAGACTGTTGTGAACCTTTTGTGACTGAGTCACTGTCTTCTTGTATATATAAACTCTCTTTTTTACTTGTTATTCCCGATTTAGTATACACATTTATGATGTAAACGGATAACGGCTTTTAAAAAAGTATTTTTTGACGATCCCTGCCAAGTATTTGAATTTTATTTGAAAAATACCGAGCACGCAAAATAAGCATTTGAAAATCACGATGCACGTAAAATTAAATAAGCAAAACATGTTGAACAAGGCACCTGTCTTGCACGACTGAACGTTAAATAAAAAACGGCGATCACGTTGCACGAAAATAACCCTTTACCACCCTCATATATATATATACATGTGTTGTAATATGCATGACGTGTACATGTATGATAATTATTTTTCTGGGCCAATTAAAAAAAAATTAATATAAAAAATCCATGTGATATTTTTTATATACATGTATGATATAAATATCACTGCATTCAAATTTTTATAAATATTTACTATTCACTAAAACATGCCAATTACTAGAATTTTATTTGACTAATTGTTATACATTTTGTATTTCCTATTTTGGAAACAAGGAACTAACATCTTATCTTATTTTTATGTTATGATATTTTTTGAAATTTCCAAAATACATGTATAACATATTTTTACCTTTATAAACAAATACTCATTTTTATATTACAATATCTTAAAATCTATTTCTACTTCTAATAGAATATAAAAGGATTCCAACAACAATCTATGAATTGCTCCATAAGATTTATGTTCAAGCTTGACTGTATTGATTCAGGAAAGACTTTAAAGATTTGATTTTGTCCAGGAAGATGATCATTTATCATTAACTCCAAGCAACAAGAAGAAGTTAATCTAAAATCAATGTTATATCTATCATGTCTTAACAGTATTAATTCAATTATACCTTGACATAAGAATTCTAATAATAGTACGAAATTCTATAGTTCCTATTTCTTCATTCTCATAGGGAAATATTTGGGAACAAAATTAATTACTCTAAGATTTGACAGTTTGATTTAATGATCAATTTAGTGGTATTGTCAGGGTATAATTCAACCATGCAATACCAGCAATCAATTTCCTCTCAAAAACTCTCATTTATTTTCTGTAATTATACAAAACTGCATTCTATTTATTTAAACTGAACAAAATAAATATTGAATACTCAAGTAAAAAACAAAAGAGAACTAATTTATCAATGATGTATATACCTTGCTAATAATTTGTTGGTTTTCTTCCAGGTAATGTTTGACCTGAATTCCGGAAGACAGCAGAGCACTGTAAATATATATTATTTAAATCAATAGAATACTCTCTCACCCACATCAAAATGTATTACAAATTTAGTTAATTTACAAAAATCTTTCTGAAGAAAAGCATTAATATTCATTTATAAATGCATGTGGCATATGATACAGTAGCTATAGAGATCAAAATCGATAATCCTGTAAATTGTGAAACAATTTAGCTAATCTTTAAAAATATTTTAGTTGGAGTTTGGCTGTGTTATTTGTCCCTGATTTTGTATCATTTGAATGTGTCCATAGGAAACCATGTACCACTCACACTATAACTATCCCATGTTCAGTAAACCACCAAAAATGGGTCAAAGCCTTATGTTGCTTATATTTTTTTTAAATTCAATTTATGACATTATGATGTGAATTTAAAAAAAATAAAAGCAACATTTAAAAGAACATGTTAACTAAGTTTCAAGTTGGTCATGTTGGTGTAACCACAACTGCATGGTATCTGAAACCAAACTTTATTATGATAAAGGACAGACAAATGGACAGATAAACACAAACAGACTAACAGAATAGACACACAGACCAGAAAAATGGCCCTTACATTCTTAGACGGGTCATAAAAATCCATATTCATGTTCAATTATATTATGCTTTGAAGATAATAATGACAATGGGCTTTGCTCATTGTTGAAGGCTGCACAGTGACATATAGTTGTTAATTTCTGTGTCATTTAGTCTCTTGTGGAGAGTTGTCTCATTGGCAATCATACCACATCTTCTTATCTTTATATAAGAGTTACTTTTATTCCCTGAAAACAATATAAGCACATTGTAGGATTCTTTTAACACAAATGCATACTTTAAAATGACATTATACACATGTGATCCTTAATTTGTTGTATAATAGAGGGAATGTATTTTCTGAGAAAAACATATTACATTTTCTCTAATTCTTCGTCAATTTATCCCTTTCTGCACCCATTGTATAAAAAAAATTTAATCAACGTGTGGTTCGTTTGATCTCAGTTCTTCATTGGATAAAATCCGATTATGACGTCGAATTTTCTTGCTTTCCTCTGAATTTCCTATTGTGACGGCATGAAAAAAGGCGACCATGCCTGATGACGTCACATAGAAAGAACACATCTTTTTGCAGATCATTCAAAAAGAAGGAATAAGTTTGCCTGCATATTGTTTGAAAATCATTAGAGAAACAGATTCCACCACCAAATCTCGTGTAATACGATATTTATCCACTCTCGACAGTTAAATTTTAAACATTTAAAACGCTCGGCAAGCCTCGCGTTTTAAATTTGAAAATTTAACTGTCTCGAGTGGATAAATATCGTATCACACTCGATGCAGTGGTAGAATCTATATGTAGCACATTGTCACATCCTTTGATACAAATGTATACTTACTCATTTTTTTTCAGCCTTAACTTTTGTCCTTGTCCATTAATCATCAACTGAAAGGTGACATGCTCAAGATGTTCATGAGTTCCCTGCAGAAATTCAAAGTTTATAGTTATAGAAATAGGCAAATATTACATACATCATTGTCTATATATCCTAGTCTTAAATTATCAAATATGACTTACTTAAAATGTACATAATTTTTAGAAATAATTAGTTTGATGTGATTATATCTAATAATTAATCAAAGCATCATCAGAACTGTGATCCAGACAATTTTTTTTAGAAAGAGTTCCATATGGAACCCCCACAGAATAAACTGTATGGTTTTATTGTGTTTATTTCTTAGAGCGGAGGTGCCAAATGGAACTCTTACCAAGTATTTAGCTACATGTAGTCAGACATTTTATTCTAATCTCATTTTCATTATTTTTTCTTTATACCAACCCCTGAAACACATTTCAAGACAGCCATGAAAACTTGGGATAAGTGATTTTGGCCAAAAATCTAAATTGGTGTTATGACAAAATTTCTATTAAAAAAGAGAGAGAGAGAGGATATCATATGGGACAATCTAAAGGGGTAAATTCAGTAAATAAATATACGTCATCAGGGACCGCCCATTTGGGGGAGAGCTTTCTGTATAAAACTGAAGTCTTGTGCTCTTCTAATTGGTAGATAATGTTTGTAATAAATATTTTTTGATAGATGGATCAAAACTAGAGTTAAAAAAAATTAAATAAACTGCTTCGCTGAGCGCAGCTGGATACGCCCGCAGAGGTCCAGCCCTGAACAGTTGGGGCAAAAATGGACACAATATTCAAGCTTGATACAGGTCTGAATTTGGATTGTAGTTAAATAGTTGACATATTATAGGTTTCTGAATAAATGTAGTCAAAGAACTTGAAATTGGTTATATGAATTGAATTTATATTCAATTAAAGATTTCTTGCTGTTGTGCAATACTTAGTAAATCTGTTGTCCGACTATAAACAAATAAAGTTCAATTTCTTCTCAATGTCATATTTGAAATTTATGAAAATCAATAGGGAGATTACATCAATAGCTATAAATAATTCACCAAAGTTTCATGAGAACTGCTGAAAGCATTTTTGAGTTATTGTCCAAAAACTGGAAAATCCCCCCTTTTTTAATGAATAAAACCCCATAACTAAGAAAAGTAAAATCTAAAATTTATAAAATTCTAAAGGGAGCTTACATCAACAGATATAAATAATTCGCCAAAATTTCTTGCAAGTTGGTGAAAGCATTCTGGAGTTATTGTCGGAAAACTGGAATATCCCCCCTTTTTTAATGAATAAAACCCCAAAACTCGGAAACGGTAAATCTTTATGAATGATATATGAAAGCTTCCGATTTCTAAAGGTAAATCAGGTATAAATTGAATTCAAGACATAGATTAGCATTAAAGTCAATGGGAGATTTTTTACTGAATTTACCCCTATAGTTATAAGTCTTATAAAAACACACAACACAAGGATAAAATTGCAGAACCTCATTTACATCATTATTTCACAAAAAATTATGGAAAGTCTGGAAGAGTTGTATGCATAATTTCAAATGATATTCTTAGGTATCGTGGTGAATTAAAAAAATTTGATATATCACTATTGCATTAAGTTCAGATGAGAAAGATAATATTTTTTCAGTTGATAAAACAAGATTAAGTTTGTTACCCTAAATTAACTTGTAAATGGTTGCATTTGGATGTATTTCTATGTTTTCTATATCTTAGAACATTTACAAAATATATCGATTTTTTGATAAAAAATATTATATCACATAGAAAATTAATGGTCTGTAATTTTATTTTTATTTCCATAATCTTTCTATAAATCTTTTTTCTAATGCCCCCAAGATGGAGAATATCTAAATATTGATGCAAATTCCTTCGATACATGTATTTCTATTTTAGAAGCTTTGATGGTACACTGATTTTACATCTTATTTTTTCATAAATTTTTTAATCTTATGATTTTGATGAAATGGAAACAGAAATTTTCAAAGGAAGGTATAGATCAGGTATAGTATATTTTTTACTGAAGTTTGACATAACAGTTTCCAGAAAGAGGCACTAAAAATGTATTTTTTTTAAATTGGTGTTCAGTCTTTATTGAGAAAAAATACATTGTAAAAATTCTCTTCAAATATTAAAACATGTAATAATATTTCATAGTTTTCAATTAGTACAATGTACATCTGAACTTACATGATGTCGAATCTGTTTTTCACGAGTTGAGATGGCAATTTGGTCTGCTTTCTTATGGACTCTTTTCGGAAAAATAATTTCAAATGGCCGTGGAATGTTATCCCAAAGGTATTTATTGTATGGATGTTCTAGTAACTTAGCTATGTCTGATTCTAAAAATGAAAATATACATACATTGTAAATGGGTATACATGTACAACAAATATAATCACACAAAAACACTACAGTAATCAAAGCTTGATTCAGATAAAAATCATGTTTTGCCGATATTGAGAAAATTCTGAGATTCACTGTGAAACAGGGTGATTACTACGGTATATTGATTGAAGGCTATAACACTCAGACCTTTTCATACATCATGTACATGTATTTCAAAGTGAATCCCCCACTATCACCAACATTCAATTTGAAAATTAACCACAAACTTGCACCAAGAGTGTCATTGACTATATATGTTCAGTGCTGTCAAGTCTCACACAATTTGCATGAGAATCACTCATTTTCATGCTTATTTGGCTGCATTTCCCTTTGATCTATTGTTTTTTCTTTTTGATCTTTATAATTTTTGCCAAATTTCACGCATTTGCTTCATGAAAACTTGACAGCCCTGTATGTTCATACGACTCCAATAATATTTACTGGTGAACTGGGATGATTCCCAGCCAAATTAGTTATTCTAACTTTCTCTCAAATAAGGAATAATTTTCCTGTGTAAAACTTCAAAAAATAGTTAAAATCATTATTTCATAACTTGAACATCTTCCAAAAACATACACGTATTCAAGAAAAATTCAACAACACTTCAAAATGACAACTAACTTTTAGTCTTCATTGTACAGATGTAATGTGATCTATATCATATACTTGTATATATCATTGTATATGTAGCAAAGAAAATCACTTCAACCTTTGCTCTAGGCCATACAGAACTTTAAGGTAATACTTGCTCAAGTTGCAGACCTCACTGTGACATTAAGATGAAGAACAGCAATAACTTGCTTTGGTTTTTTTTTCAAGTGTGAGACAGTATTTAAATTAAAACACCATAGTTACACTAACCATAATTACATGAACATGTATCTTTTCTTTTCAATTTCTTTCAACTTATATACTATAAAATGTCAAGTTCTCAACTCAGAATCTACATAGGTACAGAATAGGTAGAGTACATGTACATGTAGTTCTTGTACAGTAGTGTTCTGTAATTCCGTCCGTCCAGTAAACCCGCCCACTCCCATTTACTTCCATAATTGTCACTTCCGTGAATATTACGTCTGCTATTTTATTTAAAGGAACTGTACTTATCAATACTGCATGTCAAATGGTAAAGAAGAAATCCTTTATTACGAAAATATCTACAGATATATATAATACAGTTCCTAAAGCTAATGATAATCTATCATTGCTTACAAAACTCGTTTCTGCCTTGAAATTTTTTTTTTTTTTCAATTGTCTGGAATCCCTTTATAAGTGGTCTATTAATAGATCACCTTTTCCTTTCATAAATATATGATCAACTGGCCCTCCATACATATTTACTGCCCATGAGTGGATTTACCGGACAAACACATTTCCGATAAAAACACAGATGACCCACTTGTTTTGTTGACTTCAAAATTTATTCCAGATATTTTTTGGGAAATGAGATAAACTACTCAAAATTGATTTGTCAGTGAATCGATTTATGTTAAATTTGATACAATTCGTATATAATTAAGCAGAAATAAATACGACCAAAGCCTTAAGTGGGCGGATTTACCAGACTGCATCGTAATCATGAAATTATTCATTACTCTAATCCAAATCCAAGAAATATGTCTCATACATGTACTTTATTTGTGTACATGTATTTTATGATAAAAATGTATATTTCTTATTTATGAATGAGTTATGTTGGTTGAGCAGAGGTCAATCGGTGTAAAGAATGTCATTGAACAATCAGCTATTTTATACATAAGCATTGTGACATCAGAAATGTAGGGGAAATGCACAAATGTGAAAGTTGTTGCAACAATTTTAAAATATAACACAGATAAGACAATTCATTTATCAATATATCTAATATACTTAATATATATTTACATGTACACTGTGATGTTTATTGTTGTAATTACCAATTATGTCAATCAATTGTATCTGATTATGCCCTTTATGGGCCCTGTAATTTGGGAAATAAAAATATTCTATTCTATTTTAATGCTCCTTTGCCCACACAGGCACTTGTCTCTGTAAAAATATACTTTACAGTTTACTTAACAAACGGTTGCATTGTTAAGTAAAGGTGCATATAGGTAAGTTAATTTAAGAGACAAGTGCCCGTGTGTGCCCATAAAGCTTTTACTCAAATCATATACAATAATACGAGTTTTAGATCGTTTTTTTACTTCTTTTTGTGCTTCAGGAAAAATAATAATTAATGAGATGCAAAGATGAGTCATTCAGTTACAAAGAACATATCCTTTGATGTTTTCACGTGTATCGATTTTTGACAGCGATGACAAAAAAAATTGGATGATATCTTACCAGAATTTACAGCGGGTATGCCTTGAACAAAAACAATTCCATAGAAACAAATTAAAATAATTCCCATTCTTTCACATTTTGCAGTTATTTCTGATTGATAGTCTTAATTTAAGGCATCTTTTTTTGTCTAGTGTGCTTCCAAGTTCAGTCCATTTCAAATAAAGCATTTGTTTGTTTCAGATTCAAGGGAATCAACTCTAACTTGAAAACATCATGCAAGCACTGATAATGCTCATGGATTATACATTGCTTCTGACCTGAGACTGTTATAGTAGTCTCAGTTCTGACACACGTTTGATTTTATTGTGCGTGATGATCAAATCACAAGTGAACAGGGATAAATCAGAATGAATATATTACCTTTTGAATTTTAAGTGTGTTTTCATAATAATTGTACAATAATTCGAAAACCGGAATAGAAGTTCCTTCCGATGATAATATAAGTTCCAAATGGAAACAATATCCTGGAATATTATTTCCATTGGAATAAATATTACAGTAATTGTTCCTAACGGAATAAATGGTATAGAATATTTGTTCCAACAGGAATAGATATTATGACATTGTTTATAACAAAGTTTCCAGTGGAACTTCTGTTAGGCGGAACAACTAGATACGTTGACAATCTTATATTTATTATTTTTTTTAATTTTTTATTCAAGACAAAAGGCATGAATTTGACAGATAAACTATATTACAAAGACACAGATATAGCACTAGACATAGTTTATAGACACTAAAATAATCTACATGTTTACTAAAAATTTTAATTTAAAAAAATAAAATTATGAAAATTTTCATGATATTTTGATAATATGATTAGACTAGATTAAATAATGAGTGAAATTAAATTGACTAGATTTTCACTGTAGCCTAATATCTTAGGATGACCCACAAAAGTTATTTCAGCTCTTTTCATAATGTTAGCAAGACAAAAGTTTGTTTGGCTTGCTTGCTTTGTTTGTATCAATGTTTGCTCAAGCATTGTAATTAAGATTGACATCTGAAAACAACATAAAAAGGCGGATTTAAACTTGTATACATTATATTTAAATTTGATTGGACATTATCAAATAATCATATTTTCCTATGCACAGGTTTAACTCCGCCTACTTATATTGTTTGCAGATGTCAATCTTACATGATCACAATGTTTGAGCAAACATTTATACAAAAACGTTGTGCACGATGTTCCTACAACACGACGTTACACCAAAAATGGGACGTCAAAGAGTGTTTCTGAAATTTTGACGTCGATTAATTAAATTTGTTAGTTTCATTCGGTTTTTTTTATATGTTATTGGTTGATTCTGTCTCTGTTATTTTTGTGATGTATTTTTACCATGAATTACCTCAAGTTGTAGAAATCGATTAACCATGTTTACCCTTAATTCCCCTTAAAATGTTGTATTGTCGTAAATAATGTAGGAAGGCAAAATGGGACGGAATTATTAAATATACAGTTTTCCATCAATAAATTAAAACATAATTTTAGAAGTACAAAACTTTAATCACAGGATGCTAAAATTTTATGGTGCATATCATCAGAGACATATTGTATTATATGTCTCTGATATCATGTCATTGTAAATTTTCCATATCTTGATTCAACCCCAATACAAAATCCGACACTCTGCAAGTAAATCATTTTTTTTTTGCACTTGATTAGTTTGAAATGAATTGTACTTTCCTTGACACACAATTTGTCGAAATACAGCCCTTCAATTATTTGAACCCCAGCTTCAAAATTATTTCCCCAGTCATCTATAGTTTCTTGCTAAAGTTTTCTAACGTCTGATGTACTTTTTAAATTTTAGAAATCTTCTCCTGGATCGTCCGTAAAAACGGGTAATACAATCCCGGGTTGTATTATTTCAATGAAACTGTTTTCGTCGATGTTTGCAATTAGTCTTTCTGTTACCTCCGTTTCATGCACAAGTTTATTTTGACGAAAAGGTCCGACTTCGCTAGTACATGAATTAGTTTCAGTACGACAGTTATAACATGAGTAGCAGGACAAGTCGCGAACTAAAACTTTTCGAGTACTTGTACTTTTAATTTGGTGAATGTACCGTACTGAAGGGGCGACTTTAAATGATCTATATCTATTTCAGGGTACTTCCGCAACATAACGAAAAATTCACCTTTAACATATAGAGGACTGTCTTGGTGTCTCCAAATTGTCTTTGCAAAAGTTGTACATATCATTCGCATTCTGAATCAAACATTTGCCTCTAGCAATAAATCACTAAAAGCTAAAAATGGTTATAAAATATCAAAATTTAATCTGTGTCGAATCTATGTTCCCTGTTTGTCAATATGCACTATTCTTTTTTCGACAGCCTTCAATATCTTTTTCCAAATTTCACCACACGATTTGTTTTTATTATCAGGAACATTTAATTGAAACAAATTTAGCACATGCAACGTCGGAAATAAGCGTTTTTTCGGATTTTCACCCGTTTGGACAAAATGACTACCGTTTTGTAATGTTTCGTAGCATTTTATTCCTTTCAGACCCAAGCATGTAGTTAATAAAAAACAAATTTAGGCACTGTGTACTCTTCGTGCATCTAACTTTTGTTTTTATAACTTATAAATAACTTATTGAAATGTCAGGTAAAAAAACCGCATTAATTGCTTTGACAAATGAAATATCAACTTGGACAAAATGACTACCGCTTGAAAAACAACTGTAAAGAGAAGATTTTATAGAATCTACAATATTTGAACTCACGAACAATGAGGCAAATATTTGTACTATTGGTAGAAGTTGTTATTATCTTACCATTTTTAGACATTTTCTGCTATATCTACTTATAAAATACACTTTCAGTCGTTGAGTCAACGAAAAACGTCGTTGGACATTTTTCTTATTTCAGCTTAATATGCAGCCGCCGAGTCAAATGAAATATGACAAAATAATGACTTTATTGTCACAAAGAACCGACACATGTCGTTGTTCTCGCCGAGTTTCAGGAAGATCAGAGAATAAGAAATAGGATCACTATACATAAGAGTTAAAACAGTTGTTCAAAAATGTAACGTTGGACATCCGTTTTTTCACATATAGCTTTGTTGTTTTAATCCTCAAATGTACTAGATATTACTAAGCATATGACCTAGAGCTATAAGAACATTATTGAAAACATATACTGAATTTGTTTTTATAGTGGTTAGTGTTTGCTAACATTTTTTTTTGTTTTGCGAAGGAAATGTCGAAGATTCTTATTTAAATCCTATGGGTTGTAGGAACAGCGTGCGTAACGCCAAACAAAGCAAGCAAGTCAAACAAACCTTTGTCTTGCTAGCATTATGAAAAGAGCTGTAAAACTTATTTCCAGTGGGGTCCTTTTATGACGAGACTTCCAGTCTACACCAAGGGTTGGCACATAGAAAATACAAACACAAATCATTTAGAATTTATCACAGATAAATGGTCAAAGCCCCAGTATAATTAATTAAAAATCAAATTCACTATTAAAGATGGATTTAAATTTATCCATCAAAAACTTTTTCACTTGTACTTTAAAATTATCATTTTTTAGAGCAACTTTTAATCATGTTTGGTAACGAATTCCAGTCTTTTATTCCATTATTAGGTAAGGTATACTACCCTCCTTTCGACGTAGTCTAGTCATACAGACAGATAAAATGGTTATCTGTCGGACTAGTCTACTCTTAAAGGAGGGCAGTTTATCTAACCTAATAATGACTTCACGGTTCAGCTTACAAGCAAGCTAACCAAGGATTCTACTTTTCCGTACACACTCAATGAAATCGGCTGTACTTCCTGGTATATAAAAGTTTTTACTACTAGATCTTGTATTGAAAGATGTTTCATTTCTAACAAAATTAGTATTAGTCATAGACATTGACATAGATTAAAAACATTAGTGGACCCAGTAAGCTACCTTGAGAGACACCACATGTAATATTACATACTTCTGAAATCACCCCATTTACACTTACAACCTGTTTTCTATATATGTCAAATATGACTCAAACCAAGGTATAGATCTAACCCTAATTACTTCTAATTTGTCACATAATATCTTGTGATCTACTGTGTCAAATGCCTATTTTGACTGCAAGGTACGGTCCTCTAGATAAAGATGGAAAAGACTACGTATGTTATGTATCTCCTTCTCAGGATACAGCTACTAAATTATATTCTATTAAATTTATTGATAAATAATCCAAACCAATGAATTGTACATTTGAATATACACCAGGGCGCGGCATCTTTAAAAAATAACAAAGATTTCGCTAGATTTTAACAAGTTTGTCGTTTAAAGTGTATTGATAGAGCTCTGGTGTATTGATGAAATCAAGGATATGTATAGTGATACAAATCATTGATGAAATTATGAAAAAAAGTGTTGTTTATTAAGCAATAGTTTTATTTCAGAATGCCATCAGATAAAAACAAAAAATCCAGACCGAACAGTAGCTTTAAATAAGATTGTTCACATCCGAAAAAAATAAATATTTTTATAAAAAATTCTGATAGTAACTGGGAGTAGGTAGTAGTAACTAGGACAGAAAATGACTAGAGGAGGACAGTGGACTCAGCGGGTTTCAAAATCAGAGTCGGAATTTATATTGGTCCACTAAAGGTGACTATTGTCATTTGATAAGAGTCATTGACTAAAAATATCTTAAATTATTAAAATACTAAATATCTTTAATCCTGTCATACAGTTAAGTTTATGATAATTTGATGTAGTCTCTTCAATGTATTGCAGATGTAACAATGACGTTATTTACATCTAAAGTATTCCTAATACGACATCAATTTTACCCAAGATCATCAGTTTTCGTAGAATTGCCGGAATTTGAGCAACAGCCTCACACAAACAGATTTTATTTTCAATTTAAATCTACAACATCGGGTATAAGAAATCTTGTAGCGCCTGCATACGGAGTATATATCTCCCACTTAATACGATATTCCAGGGCTTGTATTTCCTATCATGATTTCCTTGATAGAGGGTTGCTGCTCACAAGGAAGCTATTAAACCAAGAGTTCAAAGTGATGAAGTTGAAATCATCCCTTCGCAAATTTTACGGACGCCATCACGAGTTGGTTGACCGTTATGGAATATTCGTTTCACAGATGATAGCAGATATGTTCCAATTGTCGTAACTACAATCCCGTCCCCTT